CAGAAGGAAGTGTTTTACCTTCAGCAAGACGTTAATAATAACCTTAGTTTAACAGGTTCACCAGAAAGAAATAGAGGTCAGGGCCACGGCATCAAACATCCACCATCAGATCCATTCATCTCAGCCCAGTGCTGGATTTTTTTAATCATGAAACATGTCCATGGGTGAGTGTCTCCTCGTACACAATGGCTTACGAGTCATCACAATGTTCTTATTTCATACACTTCCAAACTTGCATATGTTTTCACTAACAATATAATAGGGTGTGGGTTCATGACACTCAGCAGCAGCATGGCCTATAGAGGAACTTGCAGTCAGCACGATTAAAAGTGGAAATAGATTGCTAAAAGGCTTCAGTTGTTCATTTTGATTGACAGTGGTCTACAACACACATAGCTGCATGCTCATCGAGTGTCATCTCTGGCTGTGGAAGAGCTGTTATCCGATCAAGACTTTTTCATGTCTCTATCGAGACAAGTTAGAAATGTATGATTGTAATCCTATTTTCATCCCCTCTGTGTAAATAATTAACAAATGAACGATATTAAAATACAATAAATATATCTAAAACTTTGTGTCCATGTGTCTTGCTGTGTTAAACTCAGGTGCTTGCTTGCGTGCATGACTTTGCATTGCACGACTCGTGGCTTTTTGCCAGATGTCCCAGAATACACCCGACTAACAAGAAGCCTTGAGGCCAGGGGAGGCTTTGGCAGGGGATGCCAGGGGAGGCTGGACAGATGATTTTGGGATTGTGGCCAGAGATTTTTTGAGGAAATATGAGAGGGCAACCTCCTGCAATCAGGCAGTGTCGGTGACCACTCAAGTGCGACGCAGCGGCGAGCTGCCACTCAAGATGCCGCCAGATCACTCCTTAGAAGTCGACTCCTGATGAGCTGTTGATGTGTGTGTGTGTGTGAGTTTCATAGGCCCAGGAGGGGAAAGACTGGACGAGCAAACAGCTGCTACAAATATTTTCCTGGATGAGCTACAGTCTACCGTAGAGAAATGAGAACTTGCTGTGCTCAAGTTAGGACTTTTAAAACACAAAAAATGCCTTTAATTTCTGAATTGAGACATATTGCCTCACATTACATGAACCCCAGTCATTTGTAAGCTCTGCACAAAATCACATTTGTCTTCTAAGAATGTTGCCATTTCTTTCTTTTTATGTGATTAATGTTTGATCCATATCCAGTTTTCTGCAACTCTAAGCATGTGTTAATGTTGATCGTCACGACGGTCAATTATAAGAAGTTGCAAGTCACTACTGCCCTCTATGTGTTACATAGGTAACTACAGTCTTCTCATTGGAACAAACCCAGCATGCTCAACATCCAACAGTGTGGCTCTTATTGTAGTGTAAACGCAGCTGTGAATGTTCTGATCTAGTGATGAAGCCCATTCAAAACCAAAGCTAATAAACTGCTGTAGACTCAAAGGGGGTTTCCCTTTAAAAAAAAAAAAAAAAAACACATTAAACTGACTCGACAGTGTTCCAGTTTGGGAGGAGACTCCCAGCAGTGAACTCTCAATGTCCATCAGTGGCACAGTGCTAAAAGCCTTGTATGGACAGGCAGTGGGCATACATTGAGGCTCCTCTATTGGACCCTGATGCTGTGCCCATACCCCCCGTTGCTCCTCTCTGTCTCCCCGAGTGGGTCCTCCCATTCATTTGGCTCATTTGAATTCCGACGTGGGAGACCTCTGATGAGCCGGGTGAACTGTTACGCTACACGACGAGACTGCTAATTAATCACAGCGACTGTACACATTGCCTGTGCGGCGTTGACTTGTGGAGATAAATCTGCCGGGTTTTTCATCTAATGAGTTGGACGCACCTGGAGCCGGTAATTAGTCAAAGCGGTCCCGTCGTGTAGTGTAACAGAGGGTGTTTTGCTCTGCTGTCTCATTCTAGGTGTTAAGCAGTTAATTACTTAGCAGCTTCAGTGTTCAGCCGTACGAGTAAAGAGTAGACATTTAACAGATATCCTTTCCAAAAGCCTTGCAGAGAAATGTTGCAAGGCTGCAAAATAAAAAAAGAGCTGTATGATGTACCAGCATTTAAAAAAGGGTTTAATATTAGAAATATGTATTTATTCTAATGTTATTTTCCATTTTCATACACATTTTCTTCTTCTTTTGTTATGGAAATTGGATAAGATATGTCACATCTGGCAACCATCTTTGGATTACCTATTTAGTTTCAACTTCTTAATTGTGTGCAAACTGAATATTTCGGGAACCAGATAAACTGTATTTTTGAGAATTTGGGGAATACCTTCAAAAACTGAGCTTTTAAAAGACAGCCAGCAAAACAGACGTGTCATGATAACAGACGAGAGGCACAAATCTGGCCTTGTGTGTCTAGTACCAGCTCTCATCTCATTTACCCGTTTACCCTGGAGGTTTCCTGGACATCACATGCTTCCTCTGATCACTTCCTCCACCTGCAGAGTTTCTCCCCGGTGATTTAAGCCACTCTGGCACTTCTCCGGCCTTTGCTCTTGTTCCCAAACCGTGGGGGACTTTCCCTCGGATCCTCTCGCCCTCCTTATTTCCTCCTCTCTCATAGCTATTGCGTGCCCTCTCTTCAGTTCGCTTTCCCTTTTCACACTTTTCTGTTTTTGCTCCTTCATCTCTCTCATCTCTCCCTCCCTCCCTCCCTCCCTCCCTCCCTCCCTCCACATCAGCTCACTGCATCTCCCAGCTCACCACAGGAGAGCCCAGAGTTTGGCCTTGCTCCCCATCTCTGCGTGTGAACTGTGTGTGTGCGGTGTTGGGATCCTGCCACTGAGGTAAGAGGAGGCATGCAGGAGACGATTAGGCACTTCAAAGAATCTCCTGTGCACAGGTGTGAGGGCTATCCCACACCAGCAGATGCAATGGCACTAACACACACACACACACACACACACACACACACACACACACAGCATTAATCTGAGAGCTCAGTGGCTTGTGGTGGCAGGTCCCTGTCAAACGTGAGGCTCCTTTGAATGTCACTCAGAGACCAGGCAATATCTTTACATCACAAATATTACACCCAACTGCTCACCCTCTCTGGCTTGTGTTTACACGCACAATGCACTCACACTTTTTGTGAGGCGTTATTTTATGATTATGTGTTTGTTAAAATCCTGTAGTAAACATCAGGAACAAAGAAGACACACACTCTTGGCTGCCACAGCTGCAGTAATTACGCTGTTCCACACAAAATAATGTAATTGCAGTTTGTTTACACATGTGGAGAAGTCTCCTTTTTATGTAAATTCAGGCTATGTGCATGCATTGTCGGAAGAGATATAAAAAGTCCATTAGGGTGGAAAAAATGCAGCCTCTCTTAGTTTATGACTCACAAAAGAATTACAAGAGAGCTTTTATTATGCAGCGCATCGTGCTTAGTGTCATCCACCTTGCCTAAAAGCAGAATAAACAGGCCTGTGTGCCATGTGACAGTGGACTCTCTGCTTAGATCATCACATTGTTTGTATGAGGGTAAACTCAAATGATGCTCAGCTGTGAAAAACAATATAAAAGTTGCTTGTGAGATTTTAGTGACATTAAAAAGGCTTGTTTTTGCATGTGCGGGTGATTTTTGTTGCACTAGCCATATGTTTTTGGTCAGTGTTTCCACTAACTTCGCACGGCTTTCCACAAAAGCAATCACACATATATTACTAAAATACATCATCGGTTTTTAATTACATTTTGAATTTCTGTTTCACTCCATGTGTAGCTTCGCAATAATTCTTAGTTTTATTTCTGGTGTCGGCTTGGTTTTAGCTGTGATTTCACTCTAATAAAATGGATTCACATGCATAGTTTGTAAATATAATATTATTCACACACACCTCGCAACTCATCACCCCACCCCCATGCAGCTACAGTCGGGCCCTCGAGTCCACATGGAAATGATCAGAACTCAACAAACGCCACGTAAATAGCAACTAGTACACCATAAACAGATCCAAGAATTGCTGCTACACATGAGAGTAAATGTACTCTTTGCACTTTGGAGCAAATGCTTTAATTTGTTTGAGAATTTGCAAGTGAGGTTTAAAATAAGTTGGGTTTGAGGAGGTTTTTTGTTTCCTGCAGCTTGAAGGTTTGAAAGAGGAGATTAAGTGAGAGTTTTTTTGCTTGACATGTGTTTAGTGTACTTTGGCAGTGGTTTTAACTGAACCAAGTGACCTGCTCAGGGAGTCAATGTACGGTGTTGCACAGTTCTTACCTGTTTCTTCTAATCAGCCAGTCAAACCACTCATAAATCCACATCCATGGGGGTGGAACAGATCCAGTACTGCTGACATAATAAGGCCCAATCAAAGCTGAGTGGAATCTGCTGTTGTTCCAAAGTTACATCTTTAGTGTAAGGACAAACAACTGTTCTTAAGTGTTACTTCAGTTAGATTAAATCAGATCATTTATTAAATCAGTTTCTTGCTACATGTCCATTCGTCTTTTTTAAGTGTTGTTTAAATGATTTTCCCTTAATAAATCTGCACTAAATACCCCATTATGACAAAGTGAAAAGCAGGATTTTAGATGTCTTTTGCTAAACACATCACAGATGTGGGTGTAAATTTAGATTAACCACAGGTGGACTCTAATCAAGGTGTGGAAACATCTCAAAGATGATGAAGATATATCAGAATTGTAGGTATATGTTTTTACCAATGTTTTTCATATGTTTACTTAGATATTTATTGTACCTGCAGTGTGGAGGAAGGATATCTGAATCCTTCCTCCACACTGCAGGTACAATAAATACAAACATTTTTGGAGGACAGCGTAGCAAACAAACACTCGAACTTTTCATGAATCCTGTCATAATAACTTGAAAAACATCATAAACTAATAAATAACACTCAAAACTCGAGCTGGTTGAAAAAGTAAATTCCTAATTCTGTCCACTAGAGGGCACTGTCACAGTTCATGCATGTAGGAAGGCACAGGATCTCTCCGTCTTTCTGTTTCTCTTTTATATTAATCTGTTCCCTCTTGGTCTCTAACTATAATAAATACACCCACAGAGTGTACAAAGTGTGCTCTTACCGACATCTGGAGGGCACACGGTTTGCAGACTGGCCCCGCTTGTATTTCCGCGTTGAAGTTGGAGACTAAAGTGGGACAGGGCTGCTGTGTTACGTTTGGGGAAGTTGCTCAATATCGGAAAGACACATTATTACGAGACTGTGAGCAACATATCGTGAGCAAAACATCATTTTGTTCTGCTTGCATGGGTTCACTCAATGGCGGATAATTAACACCCATGCCGGCGGTGTAAGTTGTATAGCAAGTCGGTTTAACTGTCACAAAGTGAGGTTGTGTCAGTGTTTGGTCGTAGAATGAATAACTCAGTTACTTCCGCTACTTATATTCGCAAACTCAGCTACAGTTTACGTCGCAGGTTGTCCGACTTTTTGGACCCTCAAAACGGGTGGAGAGATGTTATTACCTCGATACGGAAGCCGAGTGGTGAGTTGAGGTACACTCAGCTTCACGTGAGGTAGGTGATTCTAGCCTGTGTCATATCAGAAGCAGATGTATTCAGTTTAGATGGAGCATGCTAGTATTTATCTATCCATCCATCTATTTATCTATCTATCTATCTGTGTGCTGTATTGTTTCTCAGGAGGTTCGAAGGCCTTGTCGCACAGGGTAAAAGCCCCACAGTGGAGCTGCTGGTTGACTGGGGGACCACTAACAGTACAGTGGGAGAACTTGTGGACATTTTGAAGAGTCACAAGCTATTGGCTGCTGCTAGTGTCCTGCTGCCTGGTATGATTTATGAGAAATGGCAATATAATAATCACAGAACACATAATACGTATATATAACCCTGTATGCAAAACTACAATAACAAGGACCTCCTGGTCAAAGTTTATTGGTAAAACTTTACCATAAAAAAGCTTTCATAATTGACAGCGGAAAAAATGTGAAAAACATACAGATACTGAATATCAACAAGTATGTAAAGGTAATATATACTTAACATGCTTCCTATAAAATACATTATTTATGATGATGCATAAATGTCCATCTCACAAAGTAATCACAACCATTTTAAGGTATTAAGACCACTCTTTTGACTAGTGCACCGCATCAACAACAATAACTTGATGTCTCGTCTTTTGTCCACACACAGAGGCGGTGGCCGTCTCACAGGAGACACAGCCGGCCTCTCCAGCTGTGGAAACAAACAGCAGGCTATCAGCTAGACTACTGGAAGAGACGGAGACACGTCCACCATCTGACATCTCTGTTCTGCAGCCACAGATTCCTCTGGAGAGCAGTGAGCCAGACCACGCAGGTGTTGCTCTTTTTTTCTCTTCAAATTCAGTTTAACCATGTTTTAAGATGATTTTTAATGATTGATGTTCACACAGTCGCCTGTAGATATAATACATATAAACATAAACAGGAAACATCACAGAATTGCAAGACAATTACAAATCATACAAAAATAAAATGGAATACAATACCCAATGATAATATAAGATAAAAACAATAATAAGAAGAAGAAAGCAGATAAGACATTGGAAATAAAACAATGTGCAAGCATTGAGAGCTGGCATTTACTACTAAACAAGTAGAGGAAGTAGCATTCAGATGTTTTACTGAAGTAAAAGCTGCATCAACACAATGTAAACATGCTTAATTACAAGTTAAAGTCATGCAATTGAAAATACTAAAGTATTATAGGCAAAATGTATCAAAACTAAAAGTACTAATGCTAAAAACAATGGCCCACACAATAGACTTCATATACTCTTGGGTAGTAAATCTTTAACAATGCATCATATTTTCGAAACTACCAATATGTTTTGTAGGTAAAATCTTAATCTGCAAGGAAACGTGTAACTATAGCTGTCAAATATACGTATATAAAGAAGTAAAAAGTACAATAGTTCCCTCTGCATTGTAGTTTAGTAAGGTATAAAGTTATGAAGTTGCTGCTTCTGTGAAGAAAAAGAAATTGACCAGCAGGTGGCAGCAATGGGACCTTAACCACAACAGTCAATCTGACCCTTTTTCTGTGTCCCTCAGACGGCTTCTCCAGTTTCTTGTACCACGAGCTGATGCAGATTACAGGCAACTTTGATGACCGTCCCATATCAGACGGCGGCAGCAGACTGGGCGAGGGGGGCTTCGGCACTGTGTACAAAGGGCTCATTAATGACAAACCTGTTGCAGTGAAAAAGCTCAATCCAGTAAGTGAAAATATTGTCTCGCCAATCTCAACACTTTTGCAGATCTTGCAAATTACAACGTAAAATATTGTCTCATTTAGATGGATGACATCTCCCTGGACGAGCTGCGAGTGCAGTTCAACCAAGAGGTCCAGACTCTGAAAGTGTACGTTTTGTCCTCCGTCTGCGTCCTTGTTACTTAGATTGGTTTTAAGTGACTAACAGCCTCATAACCGTTACGTTTTATTAGCTAGAGCAGACGAGCTGTGTCTGTATTAAGCCTGGGACAAACAAATACCTTCAGTTTGAATAGAGTCGTATAGGCAGCGTTTATAATAACTAATTGTCATTGTAACTTTTTTGTGTCACGAGACTGTTTGTTCCACAGGTTGAAACATGAAAACTTGGTTGACATGGTTGGATTTTCCTGTGATGGACAGCACCCATGTTTGGTGTACGCCCTTATGGTCAATGGTTCTTTGCTAGACCGACTAGCTTGCTTGGTAAGCACCCGTCTACACACACTCTCACTTCAAGTACTTGTGCTTTTACACAGATAATTTCATCATAATGCTTTTTGTCCTTTTTAGGAGGGAAGTCCCCCGCTGTCCTGGCGACGGAGGTCCTTGATAGCTGAAGGGACAGCGAGTGGCTTGGAGTACCTGCACAGCAACCATCATGTCCACAGAGATGTTAAAAGGTGCATAGAAGCCCCTTTCCCACTGGACAAAAAACCAAACACCAACGTACATCTGGCTTTTGTCTTTAGTGGGAAAGGTTACAATCGACACGCGGTCCCGGGACAAATGATTCCGCGGTGGTATTTATCGTCTGCTTTCCTGCACGTTGGCGACATTAAACGTGACACCTTGCCCTTTAAATGACCTTTTCTTAGGTTCTTTCATTTGGGGAAATACGTGTATTGACTTTTTTTTGGCGAGAATTAGACGAAAAGATTGACAGCACTCTGCGACCCCGTTTACACTTGGTCACTTTATGAGATGTGCTTAATGTTTCACAGCTGTCGGCGCTCATAATGTTGTTGTTGTTTTTTTTCCTGTTAGTGCAAATATCTTGATAGATGAACAATTTGTGGCAAAGATCTCAGACTTTGGGCTGACGAGAGCGTCGGCCAAGCGGACGTCAACAACCATGATGACGGAGAGGATTGTGGGTACCCGTGCGTACATGGCACCTGAGGCGCTTAGAGGAGAGATCACACCGAGATCTGATGTCTTCAGCTTTGGAGTGGTAGGCTTTCTACACACACACACACACACACACACACATAAATGCTTGCACGTACACACAGAGGGGGATATTATGTCAGGAAAGGAGAAAGTGCAAATGTCATGGAAAATCTAGAACACACCTCTGCAGTTTACTTGAGTGCAAGTACTGACATGTGCATAATTGCGGGACATAAACATTATAGTATACATTTCTTTCGATTTGTGAAAATAGAGTCCTTTGTTATGCATCAGCTGTCGTTATTTTTGACTAGAAATTCTAAATCAGTTAAGTACCACAGCTGTACTGTATTATTAGCTGTACATGTCGAATATATCATCCTTTTTTATGACATTTGTTGAAGGATTTATGGGATCAGCGGTGTATAAAGCCGCCTGACCTTCCATATAGTGCAGTATATACAGCTTATATGTCTTAGTGGGACAGCTGTGGAAACACTGCAGTGTCTGTGAAGCTACCTGGCACATGGTGGAGTAACAAAGGTTTTCTGTCGTCCGGAGCCGTGTGATTGACCCCGTCTCTCTCTACCATCTACAGGTGTTGTTGGAAATATTGTCTGGACTCCCGCCAGCCGATGAAAAGCGTGAGCCACAGTTCTTGGTGAGCAGCACAAAAGAGGCTTTCACTGCGTATCCTTCAAGCTGCAGTTTACGAGGACAGCTTATTAAAGACTTTGCATTTAATTAGTAATGGCACGTTATCAGTTAGTAGTCATTAAAGAGTGATTGAAAGGGTTTGAGCCAGTTCCATCTGTGCTGCAACATCAAACCGCTGTATAAATGGACACTAGAAATGAAGTTCCTCCAGCATGACAAAAGCTATAATACTAACTTTAAAAGTAAGCAATATTATATATATATATATACGTATATTCAAATCATAGTTTTTAAAGTCTATCGCTGCCTTCAGTCACCTGTAGTTTGATTCCCCGCCTCACTCTCCCAGATGGAGTTGAGGTATGATATAGATGATGAAGACGAGGAGCTGACTTTTGAGGACTTCCTGGACAAAACGATGTGGGACTGGGACCTGAGCCAGGTAGAGAGCGTCTACTCTTTGGCCTGTAACTGCCTCCACGACAGGAAGAACAGACGGCCGGTCATCAAACAGGTACCGGCAGATATTAGGGTGTGAGGTTGAAGCTACCGCTACAGTTGGAATCTGCACTACTTTCTGTGTGTCACCTTGAGCGAAACGGCTGTGTCGTCAGACCCAGGAGCAGTGACACGTCTGGTGAAGGAAGTCCCAGCAAATCCCATGAAACAACCAGAACCACCTCTAAATCGATCAATTCTGCGGCTCTCAGCCCCGAATCCATAGAGTTTTACTAAAGATGCAAATCTTACGAAACACAAATGTTTAAATAAGAAATATATATAACTGAGGCTGTGACCTGGTCTTGTATTTATATGATAAAGCAAAATATACTTTCCCTTCAGGGCCGAGGTCAGGGAAGAATCGTAAATGTGAAAAAAGGGATTTGCTTCGATTATGTTTTCTGTATCTGATGTAAGGTTTTAGTCACTGTTTCTTTTTTGTAGGCAGTCTGTTTGTAATTCATATTCATATGTGTCTCAACAGGTCCTGCTGGAGCTTAAAGGAGTTGTCAAAAGCATTTCTCTGGATTCGAAGGCCCAGGAGTGAAGCAGAGCATCCCACAGAAGATCTGAGCCTGCTTTAGTCACGGTGCACACACTGACAAATTCATTTTCTTCTGAAGTTTTAGAGGAATTAATTACTTTTTCTCTGTGACTTACAAAAATATTTTTTTAAATCCTATTTCTTATGTTTAAGAGGAATACAACTTGGTGTCACTTTTTCTACAGCATGTTGTGAGGCTAGTATGTGAGGAAAGGAACTGTATTTATTGTCAAAGAATAAAATGAATGAAGCACATCGTGTGATTTAAATATTTTATTTTTCTTCTTTTAAAAGAAAGATTTGTAAGAAAACAAATAAGACCAAACATGACTTTTTTTCTATTAGAATGACAATATGAATATTCCCTTCAAATATGAGGTGAGTGTAGTAGTTTGCCTAATATTAATCAGTAGACCAGTGGATGTGGCAACATTTTGATCAAGGTACTTATAGTAGTCCCTTCCCTATCCGCTTGCTTGGTGCCCTCTTGAATGGGAACCAGCGAAGTGTGAGTACTTCCTGTTAGTGAAAACTGAGAAGTATTGATGTAATATGTCTGGAAGCCCGTTCTCTCCACTGTGATCCTCACACACACACACACACAATCACCAGAACAGACCTGACGGTTTCTTAATCATAGAGCATCACACAGCTACAGTATGTACATTTACAGCACTTGCATAGAAAAATAAGTTTCTCAGCAGATGATTTTTCAATGTAAACCACAGTTATATCAAAAAAGAAGTCAATTTTCCAATATAAAATGCACTGTTAACATAAATCAATAGACGCAAGTGGGATAATTCTATCTTTTCTGCTTTGGAGCACCACGTAGGAGACAAATGTGCAACACATTAGACACGGAAACATTAATTGACACAGGCTTAAGGAATGCAAGTTAAGAATTTGAGCATGTGAACTCAAACTGGGGGATTTTATCATAATGGAGCAAGTTCACATTAGTCACACTAACACTTTTTAAAGTCTCAGAGCTGGCAACAACGTAAAAACCTCAAGCGTGACTTTGTTTGGGACTCTTTGAATCGTTGTGAAGTAATTGTGACTGTGCTAACATACATAAATATGCTTCCATTTGGCAAGCTACAAATGGAATTTCTGAAGTGTGTCATTGCTCAGTTGTCCTTGGCGTGCATAGTTGGGTCTCTGGGGAACTTTGTGGGGAATTTGAAGTTGTTGTCTTATTTAAGCGTGTCAAATATTATTTCCCCCCAATCGCAGGAATGCTCCACTGTGGAACGTGCTAGGGGTGGAGTTGGCGGTCGGGTGCTGAGGTCTGTTTAATCTTCCTCCTCCGCGGGGGGTCGGGTGATGCGGCGGACCCCCCTCTTCCCGGGGCCTTTGGGCTTGGCGAAGGCCTGCTTGTGTGCATGCTGCTTGGGATGCACCTCCTCGTACAGGAAATCACCGGTCAATTCATCCCCATCGTCAATCTCCAACTGTGAACAGACAAAATAAATATGAACTCACACACTTATAGCGATGCATGTTCTATTCAGGAAATAAGGTTCTACCTTCATAGATTTACTTTCCCATTAAGGCGAATATTCTCAAACGGCTTCAAAACATTGCAACGGTTATTATTACAAGGCATTTCTGTCCTGTGTCTGCTGTACTCTTCTCACTGGATTCAGGTGAGGAGGTTCATTTGGGGGGAAAATGGGATCTCGTGTAGTTTGGGGCATTAATAAGGAATCGAGCCGCATGTGATGACAAACTAGGGCTGCAAGGATTAATGAAATAATAGTTTTATCTATAAAAACTTTAATTCAAATTTTTCAGTTTCCGACAAAGTTAAGTATTTGAGAAGCTGGAACCAGTGAATTTTGGGCATTTATACTTAAAAAATGACAATCAAAATAGTTGATAAATCTTCTGTCAGTCGACTAATTGTTGCAGCTGTAGATCAAACCACATGCATATACTCCTGACAAAGCACAACTAACTTATGATTATGTTACTTCTGAATTATGAAAGATTTGTATGGTAATGACCACAGTCTGGTATCATGATACAAAGTGTCTCACCTTTTTCTCAATCTCAATCTGGAGATTGTTCTCCACCATGTCGACCAAGGGATTTTTGCAGCTGGAATACAGCATCCTCTCTCGGATGCTGCAGTTGTACCCGGGCATAGAATAAATGAATACTGCAAAAGGAGGAAAGAAAGGAAAATGAGAGGAGCGGCCACAAAGCACCATTCAGAGCACCATAAAACAACACAGCAGTATAGAAACAACAGGGTGGGACAACCGTTCATACCAACGGAATGTGCTCACCTGTGGACTGCAAGTAGTCGCCTTCGTGGGAATGTTTGTAGAGGAAGAAGTGGTAACGTGGCGATTCTTTAGGGATTCTCAGTGGCAGGTCTTTCAACTCTGTTGGCTCAGTGTTGCACAACCGAATCAGCTCCTGTTCAGCGTCTACTTCCTGTTGACAAAGGAAATGAGAAGTTAGACTTGAGGTTGGTAGCGAGCTGTTGTGACCAGGAAGTTCCTGCACTGAATGCCAGACAGCTTAAGAGACACATCGCCTCGCTCTCAGGTGTCCTGAGTTAAACATTTACTCGACAGTTGCTGGTGTGCTGCTCAGCCTTCTCTGGATAAACAGAACATACTGCTGTCTCAAAAAGCTTTGAGGGATAACAAAACAAAAAGGGAACCGAGACAAAGCAGCAACAGTGCCACAATCACTCCTTTGTACTTTGCACTGATCTGATCTTGTGACATCACCCTTTGAATTTCAATGAGAGGGACAAAAGCTTTTTGGGGAAAATGAGTAACTCATTGTGTTTGGTCTGTTGACGGAAAACATTTCTAGCTCTCCAAACAATACATATAATGAAAGACACAGAATTGATTTGCTTAATCAAATTATTGATCCAGCAAAGGTCGCCTCCTCAGTACTGATTTGCTCCCGAGGACTCACCAGTTGTACGTAATTGACTCTTTTGTCCCTAAAACGTTCGAGCGCTGCAATTGCGTCTTTGTGAACAGGGAAGGCCACTCCCTGCAGAGTCTGCTGCTTGGTGTCCACACTGATGTCCGTATGCACCTGAACACAACACAAACACACACAGACCACAAAACCCAAGGCACTTTAGATTTCCATCATTCCGTCATGGACACATCACTGAGGACATTAATCAATGCATTATTTAGAAAATATTGCATTAAATAATACGTGGGTGTCATTTATACGAGTGCATTCACAAAAAGTATCTTTATTAATATGCATATGTACGCAGAAACATGCTCCAACACCCAAATGTATTTCTGAATCGATGATGGGAACCTGTGGTATCCAGTGTGTGTTGTCTAACATGTTGTTGAATGTGTACACACACACACACACACACACACACACACACACACACACACACACACACACACACACACACCCAGAAGCCGGGGTGATGACATTATGTCATCATTCTGGGGACATTATGTCATCATGTCAGCTTGGGTCTTTAAAGTCAGTGACACGAGGGGACAAATCAATGTTCCGTCAGGAGGTTTCCACTCGTGATACTGACTTGTTTAGTGAAATACAATCAAAATCCTTCATTCGAGTTATCAGAAAGTAAAAAGGTTCCCTAAGTGCAACACGTAGCTTGAATGCTGGAGCACGGGGATTACATGAGGTGCTTGCATCCGCGGTGACGAGGCCACGGAAAAGTGGAAATGCTGGAGGATTACACTGATGGATTGCATCTATTTTTAGATTCCTGTTCCCACAAAATGAAATGCCGTGCAAACAAGATTGAGCTTCCGATGTAGCTACCTCGCATACCGAAAAGGGATTGCGGTCCTTTTATCCATCTGCTTAGTAAACGGCAGGCAGTCTCCGAGGCACAGCAATGATAAATATTTCAAAGCCTCTTTCTCATCTAGGCGGTACAGATTAATGGTATATTATCTTCCTTCAACAGCTGGTCAAGTGGGACGAGCACAAACCTCACTTCCCATTTGCTCCGCTGCTTTTAATTGACCACACTTTGGAGCAGGAGTGCACAACTCCAGCACTTCCTTATATGGTAAGAAAGACAAGCGCTTCTTTGTGCGTGGCAGGCTTGGAGAGCAGCAACTAGAATAGGTAGTATTTTCAAAAAACAGAAGAAGAAGAGTTCACTTGGGGTTCATTTATAGAAAAGTGAAACTTCAGATGCTGTTTTTGTTTTCTTTCTCCTTTGTCTGGTGGAGTCCATCTGGCACGGCCCTGAAGCCCTTCACATCATTAGCAGCATGCAATGGATATCACGTTACAGTATTTCTTTATCTTATCACTGCAAAGGCAAAGCACAATGACACAGCTCTCCAGTGCTTGATGCACAATCACTCCCAAGTCCTCGAAAGCTACAGAGCATTCAACATTTGCATGTGGCTCTCCCAACATGGAAATAACAGATTTGAACCCCCATAAAGAGCTCTTCTTCTTTAGCCGCGTTGTTGCTCCGCCTGAATCGGGTTCATGACTGTAAACAAGGATTCTTATGGAGCTTTAGGGGTGTGTGTGTGTGTGTGTGTGTGTGTGCTGTCTGAGCCTAATGGATTCATCTCTGCCAACATCCTGCTGTTCCAATGCATCAGCATCTTTTGTGCTGTGTTGATACTGCCGGGCAAGCATATGCACACTTGCACTGCTGCTGACCTTGTGCTGTTTTTGGAGGGATGCGTTGCTGGCCTTCATTGATACTCCACACTGTTTCGGGATGGGATTTAGATCTCACACACAGGAGATGTGATTAGGAAAAAGACTGCTGTGAGCTGAGGTAAGCTATTTTTAAACTGCACGGAAGCTTCAAGTGTTCGGATGACGTAGTGTCGTCCCTTTTCAGAACCGAAACAGAGAACAAGTCTAATCCACGCCCACCTCAGAACACACTCAAGCCATACAACGAGATGAACTCAAAGGGAAACGATGACTCAGAAATAAAGTCAGAATGTCTCGTCTGTGTTCGTGTGTGTGCGAGTGTGTTTGCACCTCATTTAGCTTAATCTTTCTCAGTTCCTCCTCCGCAGCAGTGAGGGGCAGGGGAGCAGCCTGCAAGGTCAGATATTTCCTGTATCCCAGCAGAGTCATTTCATCCTGACAGAAGACAGCACAATCACACATCAGACAGCAACATAGACTGACTCATTACTACCACATTTCTCTCGTCGGTTGCCAAAAAAGAATATGACTGAAGCTGAACTTTGAGGCCATAAAAGAGCTTCAAGTGTCGCCGTTGTAAGACCAACCTTTGAGGTACCGAACATCTCATCCTTGATGTGCCCTCCTCCAAACTCCTTCTTCAGCGTGGCTCTGGTAGCAGCATATAACATTTTATGTCGCACCTGTTGAAAACATAACAAAGGTTGGAGAATCATTATAACTTAGAAAAGATACGTGTCCTCTACATAGATCAGTCACTGCGTTATGTTTATTCATGCAACATGTTTACATGCTGGCTATCTTCTTCTTTCCTGCTGCGTTGCTACATTTCATGGCATTAAAACATTGCTCCATAGCACTACTGGTCACAAACTCCACAGGGGACCTTTAAGTTCCCTCTGAAACATATTGTTGATTTGAGGCTATTTAAATAGAGTTGACATGAATTGACTCCAATGAGCAGCAAGCACTGGTTGTGAAAGAATTTTGCAACTTCCAGGCAAGCCTCAACCTGAAGCACTAGGCTTTGAGCAAGAGGGCAGGAATGTTAAGCGCTGTTGTGGCTTCCAGAAAGTGAATTCAAACTCAATTGCACCATGCAGTTACAGTGCTAGAAATATCCTGCATGGCACTTTATTTTGGCACAGATGTCTCCTTGCAACATTCCTCTTAGCACTGCTACAGAAACATTCATACGTCTATTCCTCGTGGCTATTTGGAGTCGCAGTGACTCTATTCCATAAGTGATTCATCAAGTTTTAATGGAACCAAATGACAATGACTTAGGTGACATTGCAAGAGTCAAAAACACACGAAACGACGCAGAAAGATAAGCCAGCTTCACCTAAAAGCACCGAGAGGGCGAATTTCAAGTCGGTGATGGGCGGTTCAGACCGAGCACCGTGTTATTTGGGAAAGACCATAATCTCTACCCGTGTTTAGATTTCAAGAGGTTTGTTAGGGAAATAATGAAAGCACTGTTGTCCACATGTATCCAGTTTTCACCAGCATACACAGCATTGCTGCCTTGATGTGGTAACCCCACCCTTCTGACACTCAAAGCAGAGGGGGAGAAATGCTGCGAAGGATGGAAAGCTACTCATTAAAGCCGGCCTGGGCTTTGGTTTTCTTACAATGGAGACGTCCGGTGACCAGGCCAGGAAGACCCACTCATAGCCCTGGTTGTTGGTGGAGTCCAGCCGGTACAGAACGTAGCAGGGCACGTCGTCCTCGAGGAGGGGCAGCACTAAGGAATCGTACTCCTGGTCCCACTTCTTTGCTGCTTTCCTGGTAGTGTCCATCGTCAGCTGCTCTGGAAAGCAGATGTGTGCAACAAAAAATGTCAGCAGCGCATGGATGTGTTGACATTCTAACGTCAGCCTGAGCAGAAGTTTGGGAAGATATACGAGTCCAGTGTTTTCTTGGCAGAGGAAGCTGTAAGCAAACATAAGGACTCTGCTTACCACCGTCGATGACGACCTTTAAGAGTCGATATTGGTCGCCGCTCCTGGCGCTGGCGAAGACGTCCTTCACATCGTTACCCGCTGTGGAAAAGACAGAGACGGCGTCAGTCTCCAGCTGTTTTAATACAGACACTGGCTTTGCAACAGCACACTCCTGCTAACATGAGCACTTCCAGCCCTGGATAGCAAGTTTCACCCCAAAACGTTTTGTGAATCTTACTAACCTGTGAACACACATCATACAAAGACCATAGAGTTATCTTCTCTTTATTAACATGTATGCTTCTATTACCCCTTTATATATATATATATATATATATATATACACACACACACACAATAAAAACAGGTCACTACTTCCCATTCAAATCAGCGGATTGACAATTTTAGCTATTTTAGTGCAGTTTTCCTGTCTAACCCGACCAACGCTGTGGATCAAGTCACACTAAGAATATATCTAAGCATGCAACATGATTGCTATTATTTTTCTTCAGAAATCACACAGGAAGGAACCGTTTCCTATAACACAGAAACGGATGTAAGCTTAACTGGTAAAATACCATAATACATAACATTAGCAGTTTTATCCACATGAGGCTTTGTCCCTTTCTACATGTATAGCCTAGTCAGCTATAGACAGGTGTGTGTAAAAGGAAGCAGTTTCACTTATATGGGCCTTATATTAGGCTCTGCCCTAATTGCTCCTGTAGCTGTGCCTACGGTGTAGACTTGTGATAGAACCTGAATTGAAAGTCGCTTTGGGTAAAAGCGACTGCTAAATGACTGTAATGTAATGTAATGTAAAAATAATCTTTTGGATGATAATAACTTAAGTCTGTTTTAATAACTTGAATGATTTTCACAGGAGAGAGAGAAAAAAGCATAACAACACAACTGATTATACCCAATGCATTTTATGATAATATATATATATATAAAAAAAACTCTGTTGAACGCAGCATGAGGTTAGTAGAAACGTGTATAATCATCGCATCTCCCCGTCTATCATTAACTCGCATAATTTGCACGTTGTTTTACCTCAAAACAGACTGTAAAAATCCGGCTGCCCTATATACCAGGACGTCACGCCCTACTTAAGTCAATTTTATAATAACTCAGAGCAGGTATAGCAGTGATATTCATATATTCATGGAAACACCAGCCGGTCTGTCAGGTCAACAGTTTGGTTAAAGGAAGGCGTCACCCATCCATTTAGAAGGCGAAACTAACGCTAAGGGATTTAAGCTTTATGGTGAGAAGCTATGGCAGAACATGCATTTGCAGTACTGTGAACCAAACACGAAGTACCCGTGATTAAGGTGGCTCAGGAACGAGTGGGTAAATACTCGGGGATTATACCTCATAGTCCTCAAAGTGCCCAAACAGGGCACCGCTGATCTCTCACACACACACACACACACACACACACACACACACACACACACACACACACACACACATCACGGGTAGCTCAGAGCTAGCTAGGAGTGGCTAGCTAACTTGAAGCTAGCTTCTCGTTGCAATGAATTGTTGGAATCACACACACACGCGCGCGCGCGTGCGCGTGCCGCTACATACATAAAGACGGAGACATTGGAAGCAGAGAAACGCATCTACCTTGAATGCCCGTTTGATGTGACATGGTGTCTCTTCGTCGGATAAAGAGCTGATGCAGCTGTTCAGGCGAAACCAGGGCAGAGAAGCAGGAAGTGGACTACACCGACATGACCCCGCCCCGAGTCTGTCGTCATCGACATCAAAATCACATGACACTGTGAAACAATGTATCTAGTTTTTATTCTTTAAATACATTGTTGTCATTTCTTAATAATAGCGGTTTTAATAGTTGACATGTATTGCCTTACAATTTAAAATAAGAAGGATACAAATATTAGCGGCAAAGGAAGTAGTCATATCCTTTTTATAAGTAAAAATGTTTTTTTTAAAACACTCCTTAAAAGTAAATGTCCTTCATTCAAAATGTAAATGGCCCTGAAGTATCAAAATAAAACTTACTCAGTATGAAATTAGACAAATTGTCTCATGAATGTGATTTGAAGTTAGTAATCTTTCCCATTTATTTGACATCTTATTTTGAAAACCGGATGTTGTCTCACGTTAATCTTTCCGCTAACTTTGCAAAGTCCTTCGCTCGCTCCCGATCTGTGCCGTTCGAATGCGTTTACCGTGAATTTCAGCATATAGGCCCACTACAATGTAAGTGTCTGCTGGATTGACCACGGAGATCCGAGTGTCTGCTGATTTAACTGCAGTGAGATTTCCGCCTCTCATGGCAGCAGATCTCATTTGGCGTGAAATCCTGCAACATCTGGAATCCACCGGGCTTCCTGTCTCTGCTCTATGTCCCTCCTACTCATGGCTCCTACACCACGTCAACAAATAAATAAATAAATGAATGAATGAATAGATTTTACAGCAACAAAATCATCCTGTCACCAGAGGGAATGTCAGCTCTGTGGGTCAGAACCGGTCACAACAGACAGAGCAATACCGGAAACAACGTCAACCCGTGTTCAAAATAAGGGTGTCATTGTCATTGTGTCATTTAAAAAGGAGCGATTTAGTGAAATCCAGTGATGCTGGTTCTATAGCTAAAATTAAGCATGCATAGCACTGTTGAGAGTTCAAATGATCTATTTATGATTATACATAATACGTTATTATACTTAGATAATAAGATGGATAGACAAGCCCAAATAAAATATTTGCAAAAAAACATTCCAGACAAAAACGTGTCCGTTTAGTTTTATTTTGAAAGGTGAGGGGCGGATGTTGTGTATGCGTACTGGGTCTGACTTGATGCTGGTGAATAATGTGTGTTGGCTACATTGCGTTGCACAGATGCTATGCTTGCTGTGTGGACCCAGCTACCTCCATCCACTCCACGGCAGCGGCAGCGTCCTAATAACAGCCCAAAAACTACACCGTTTGGCGGGAACCCGCTGAGGAAGCGCCGCCTGGCGCATGGACGGTCCAGCACAATGGCAGAGGATTTGGGGGTACCTCTGTTGTATACCAACAACAGGTCGCATGGATAATCCCTCCGCAACCCTCCCGTATCGTCTCGTGTTTGGAATGATCAGAGCGTCGCTGTCGGCTTTGATGTGACAGGAGAGCCGTGCGGGAGCGGGGCGTCTCGTCCCCTTGGCTGTCGACTGAGAGGAAAAAACGGCGTGGAGCAGGTGCGTTCATGACGGTGGTTCGACCGCACGTGCACGTGGCACAGGGCTTGCACGAATTTCGGCCGTCCCAGATGTTGTTGGGTTCATCGACATTAAAGTTGTGTAATCAGATAATTCCAGTCAAGCCTGTGTTATCTCCGAGGTACGTGTGGTCGGCGATGTGACATTTGGCGTCATCCCCTCTGACATTAGAGGGGATGATGATGATTGTGTGTGTGTGTGTGTGGGTGGGTGTGTGCGTGTGTGGTCACAGACTTATGCTCTTAACACGGTAGTCTATTCAGGAATAGACAGAACTGGCACGAATAGCGGGGCCGTTCAGTGCATTTCCTGCAGCACTTAAGAGGCTGTTTATATTGGGTCAGTCCAAATGTAATTTTTATGGTTTATAGGAAAGCCGGGGAGTTCAGAGGATGTATTATGAGCAGCTGGATGATAAGGATGGCTGATGTCTTCATTGCATTCCCATCATTCTCTGCTACAGCCCACTAACATATGCCATACTGTATATTCCAGGTTGATGAGTCCTTTCTGTGTCGTGTTTGCATGCTCTCCTCCTGTTTTCGTGGGTGTCCTTTGGGTGCTCTGGATGACTCCCTCTCCATGCACGTGTGGGACTCTCCTGCCAGAAGGCGCTGGCCTCAGACTGGGAGCATGGTCCCCTGTCACAACCACTCCTCTTTAATGGTTAGAATGGGATGAAGACAGACAAGTAATTCAGCATTTTAGCAGGACGATTAAGTCATAATTCCACCTATATTAGTGGAATCCCTAGCTTAGCATAACCCAAGGTGGCACATAATGACAAGACAAACATGATGCCAGGGAAATTTAATAGCCACACGGGTGTTTCACTTTTGGCAGCTCTATTTCTGAAGCCGTCGCATCATCCCAAATGCTCACTGCGGGGTATTTTAGGAAACCGTGTCAAAGCAGGGGACAGGTTTTGGGAAGTTGAGTCCAGTCACACTGGGTTAGTTACAGCGAGGGAGTTCAGAGTGGAGTTCATGGGTGAATGAATGTAGTTGGCTTTTAAAAAGAAATCCAGAGGGGTGGACTGTCAGGAAGTTACTCAAGCGGTGCGGCTGCTTGGAAGGTGTTCCCGGGCAAAGCGCCACAATATTTTTTGAGGGGAGCACAGATCAGACGGCTGCGAGGAGGATAAGCCTCTCGAAATCCCGCGCTTCACAGCTAAGAGCGTCAAGATTCTACCTGATCCAGGTATGACACTTACACCCCAACCTGTTTTACCGACTCTTGTAGAATTAAGTCTTTTTAAAGTTTAAACTTCTCGTTCTTGGTTTCAGCTCCTTGTTGAATTGTGAGCTCAGGTAAAACGTGACCCTCAAGACCTCTCTGTCATGTTTGGTTGATAATCTTAGCGTTGACGGGAAAGTCTTTTTCTCTGCGAAAAAAAGGAACGAAAGCTCCATGTAGGTGCATTATTGACGCTGGTGCTGATCACGGCTGTCTTAATTTAGCATAATCCCAATCTGCACCAAACCTCAGTTATATTCCTACCACTAATCTCAGTCTGAGGGATGTTTTCACTCTAATCTGCCCTGCTGATTCGAGTGTAATGTAATCTGACTGAAAGAATCTCTCTCTCTCTCTCTATCTCTCTCTCTCTCCCAGGTGTAGTGTGGCTGGGGGGCTCAGCAGGATGGAAATAGATGCCCGGTTTCGCTACTATTTCCAGCACCCTTGGTCGCGCCTCATCGTGGCCTACCTCGTCACCTTCTTTAACTTCCTCATCTTCGCCGAGGACCCCATCTCTCACAGTCATACGGGGGCCCATATGATTGTGGTGGGCAACTGCTTCTCCTTCCTGTTCAACAAGTACCCGGGCCTCGGCTGGAACATCCTGAAAGTGATATGCTGGATACTGGCCATAATCACTGGCATGTTAGCCGGGAAATTTATATTCCACCGCCGGCTCTTTGGTAAGTCACGCGCACATTAATGCAGCGGAATGTGCCGAGTAATGGCTCTGCTGAGGGAGGGAACCTTCCTCCTGAGTTGTTTTTGTTGTGGCTGTTCACCAGGGAAAAGCACTTACCACTCATACTTTTTTTCCCCAAAAAATAATGGAATTAAAGACAATTGTCGTCTTTGTATCTATGCTCCCACACCCATCCCGCCTTTCTTCTCAGTATTCATCAGATCTGGGTCAAACACTATTTGCAAATCCTTTCATTTTTAATTACTCTCTGGCTCAAGAAGGGCTGCAACTAACATTTATTTTTAGCGTCCAATCTTGATTATTATATGATAACCTTTTCTTTTCTTGAAATATTGGGGAAGTGTTTGTTATTTTTGCTCAAAAAATACTGAGAAAATGCTTCCATGACCTGAAATGACTTAATTGATGAATCCACTAATCGTTTCAGCTCTAGGTTGTATTAGATAAGTGAGGCTACTGCAAGAATAAATAATTATAATTTATGTGATATTTTGCTGCTGAATAGATTTATTATACTGCACATATATCAATGCATTACGCATATTTAAATGCAGAAATGGTTAGTTAAGTCTTGGTAGACTTTATACTTTGTTTTAAGGACTATTCTTCCCGTTTGTATCTGATCAGCGGTGCTTTACCTTTTTGGCTTGTAACTCATTTTAAAGAGGCACCATCTACTCACCCTCTCTCCCGTTGTGGAGCTCGTTCCCGCTGCAATACAAAACAATAACAACAACTTTTTTTAATCTGTTGTGTTTGTTTTAGAGAAGAGGTTTAGACATGAGAAACCAGTTTGTGTCTTACAGTAAAATAAGTGAATTATAGATAAAATATAGGTTATTTGATATCCCACACAAGGATACAAAACAACTCAATAGATGTTTTTCACTGGCAGACATTGTGACGTGTCACAGTGGGGAAACAAATCGGTGTAAATGGTACATATTAAAAGAGAGTATTTACAAAAAATGGATAGAAATCAATGCAGAACCAGAGATATCATCTTTTTTATGCACCGCATTCTTCTTCCTTGTCAAAACCTGCCGCCCACATCACGCTATGCTATTAGTGGCTAATGTGTCACTTGAGGCAAGTTTTCAGATGTTGCTCAGCTCCCTGTGGAGCGACTAAAGACTGCATTCAACGTTATTTTCACGTATGCAGCAGTACTCCCCAATAACTGTAAACAGACTTTTATGTGTAAAAATGGTGGCGTTCCCCTTTTAATATTGGTGTTTAGGTGTGTCAGTTTCAGGGTCCCAGTATCGTACATGATCGTGCATTGGGCTGGCTGACATTGACACTTAAATGGAACATATAGCCATCATGAATGTTAGCTTCACCTGTTCTTGCCATGACGAGTCAAAATGTCTCGTCATGGAAAGATAAGTACAGTACATCAACGTTGGCTTTGCTCCATTCCAAGTAAGCCATGCCGGTGAGCAAGCACGCTTGCAGGACTCCGATACACCTAAATGGAATGCAGCCATCATAAATTATTGTTTTTACGAGACATGCTTTTCCTGCTATGATGGAGCCTCTGCAACACAACAACATCCATCACCTCTAAGTCAGCCCTCCTGTTGCTCACTTCTTCCACCTCTCACACCTCCTTGATGCATTACCTCTTCTTCTTCGACCTCTTGCCATCTCTCACCTCGTCTTACAGCCCCAGCCTTTTCTCTCTTGACAGCTTGACTCTTTCCATTTCATTCTCCTCTCATAAGGCCGGGACTCCAATTTCATCACCCCCGTCATTTTGTTTTAACTGCAGTCAGTTCGCAGTGCTTCCTTCTTAACTGACGTATTTCATTTCCCAGTCACTTCACAACTCACTTAGGCCCGGATATTATTGGCCACCCTGGCTTATTTCTTTGGGATGAACCATTAATGGCTATAATTGGAGGGCACAGAGAAGGGGGGTGAGTGCGCTGAGTGATCGTCTGAGCATAAATAGAAAGCCAAGAGTCCATGATGATACTTTCTGCAAATACAGAATCCTCACTTAGAGGGGAAATAGAAAATGGCTTTGAGGACCGTGGGTCTGACAATAGCAGCTGTTCTTTCTCAAGTTGCAATTGTTTCATTGAATATAGAGTTTCCTTTCTTAGAGTCTATGTTCCTGTGAGTCAGGATGGCCCATATTGGATTACTTGATGCAAACATACAACATCCTTCCAATATTTCTAAGACTGTAATAGAGTTAATTTGATGTAGTTTTAATTGGAATAGGTCTGAAATACAATATATCATCTTTATTTAGATACACAATTTAATGGCCCATACAAAATAATGTCATATTGAAATTCACATGACAACAACATAACTTGCTACCATCATGAGAATCTGGGTTCCCTAAAAACGGAGTCACCAGCCAGACAAAGTTGAGAAACACTAATATATGACGTCGGTAGATATAAACTTACCTCTAGTGTTATCTATACATGCAGATAGTTTTGGTTTGGTTCAATACTTTGAGAAACACACTTACTTGCTTGTAGTTAGATGGGAAGATTGAGATTTTATCACTTTAACCACAAGGTTGGCAGTTCAATCCCTGGCTCCTCCTGTCCGTATGTGGAAGTGCCCTTGAGCAAAAGACTGAACCCCCAAGTTGCTATAATCTATGGTGTCACATTTTTTAAAAGAGAATATTTCTTCAGAAGAAAGTAGTTCAGGTGAAAACTTTTCGGTTTCTGGAAAGACAAATTATTGTTTAGAAATCTATAAGATCAATCATTTAAAAAAGACCCAAAATACAACCACAACTATCTGCATGACAAGTTACCAGTAGAGCTTGGTGAGGAACGTTTTTTTTTTTTGTAATATAGGTGACCCGCCTAAACTTTATTTGCATTTGTGGACAGAACACTTTTTTTCAGTCACTACTGTGCAAGCAGGAGAACCTCAATATATTACTCCACCATTAGCATTTTCTCCTTTTGCGTGACTCGTGATAGTAAAGTAGGTGCTTCAGCACATGAACTGTAGTAGCTCTCAGCGCGGTTTTACACGAAGGCCCAGTGTATCTGGATCAGGGTCTAACCACTCACTTGCATTGACTTGAGGGTATAGAGGACAGAAAAAGCACAGCTCATCCTGCAGCCAGGTACAACTAATGCACTTCAACTAGCCTCCGAACAGATGGTTTGTGTGTCTGTGTGTGGGCGTGTAAGTGCGATAGAGTGATGATGTTTTGTGTGTGTGTGAATGTGCAATTGTATATACGTGTGATGGAACAGGTCGGTGTGTGTTTGTACTCGGGACAGATGAAGTGAATCTGTGGTAGAGAGGGAACGAGATCGGCGGAGAGGCGGGATGTGCCCGGCACAACATTTCAGTAAAGCAGTTATGTAATCGCAACCCAGGTAAGGCATAAGAGCTGTGCTACAGCACCAGGCCCGCTGTAAAATCCATCATCTATTATAGATCTATCACACAGGCCCACATGGCCCACCTACTGCACATCATGCTGTCTGTACCAAGGCCCTGCTGATCTTCTGCACTGTGATATGTAGGCCGGCAGTGTTAAACACGGTCCATGCAAAGGTTTGAGTGCCTGCAAAAAAAAAAAGTGTTCAATGTTCGACTGATTTTGGGGACGGTGTTTTTCTGATGCCATTTGACAAATATGCAAGCTGGAGTCATTTTCCCGCTCATTCTGTTTGCAGCTCTGCATAATAACTTCAAATCAATTCGTCCCAACTCTGGAGACAGACATTGCTTTTGAAAGCTGACACATCGTCTGCATCATCTATCATTTATAAATGGCCTAGAAAATATTTCATAGGGAATCGCACCACTTCCTCCCTCTAGCGGTTTTTAGTGTTTTCTTACCGTATTCGGCACAATATATGATTTACAACTTCAGAATCCCTCACAAATGTTAATCCAGTTGTCGCATAACAGTTTCTTTGCAATCCTTATGTTCAGTTGTGTTTTTTTCAGTCATGTTGCTATTTAGAGTAGGCAGAGGTGCTCAGTATTGTTCTCAGCAGAATAAATGATGATGAATAGTTTGTGACAGATTATGTGATTTAAGACTACATTTGAGGTTCAAGGAACAACCTATGCTGTTCCATTCAGCCACTCAAGGCTATGTGTGATCTCTAATGGAGTGGGCCGTAGCCAGTGACTTCTGGTCATCCAGAGGGAGACTAGCTGTCATTACACGTTTGCATTAAATCTTAGGTCACAGGGTTTGTGAGCTGTCTATTTCGGTTTGAATGGGGTTTGTTTGCGTTCATCCATGGATTCGGTTAAGACGCACTAGACTCCTTTGGACCGATCATAGTCAAAGACTTTGCTGTTCACTTTTAGTGGAAATCGGACTGCGTTTGGCTTCTCACAAAATGAAGACGAGTAAGTAACAGTTATTAGGCTTAATTTGACCGAGTAAAAGTGAGGCTGTAAGTCAAGTGAACAATTCACCTCTCACTCATCAAGACTCAAATACTACAACATAGAGCTGGATTTTGAAAACGTTTTTGAAAAAGTCGATTTAAATTGGCAGATGTCAATCTGCTCCATAGTCTATTGGAAATGACAGCAAAGGATGCTTGAACCTTAACTGACAACAGCCATGAGAACATCAAAATAAGAGCGCTACAGGTCAAATGATGTGCAGACGGAAGATATGGAAACTATTGACATTGAAAACATATCCAACATACCAATTTAAAGGAATAACTTGACATTTTGGCAAATGCACTCATTCGCTTTCTTTCAGAGATTCATATGAGCAGATTATTACCAGTTTAAAGACTGAAATACGAGGAAACAACTAGCTTGGCTCTGTCCAAAGGTACAGGTCACTACTTAAAACGTTATGTGTTGTATGTTTCATCCATACAAAAATCAAAGTCTAAAAAAAGAGTTGTCCATATCAAGTTTTATAATTTATCAGCTCATTTACACTACGCAGGAACAAGAACGACACGTGTCACTCGCTACCTCATCCGCACATCCTGCCCGATTGCT